TTTTTACTTGTTAAATATCACTCATATTTATGTTATAGAAGTGACTACTTTTGTGATTTGGAAACTTATTTTGCTTTAATATCAAGGAGATGTACAATTGTTTCTTTTATGAAGGTTAATTTAAGTAGAGTTGACATAAGTAAGAACTTAGACTATACTCACAGGTATATAAATGATCATAATTGATCTCAATAGAATCTATACGTATAATAGGTCATATATTAGAGTCAGGAGAATTTTTAGCCACCAGATAATCTAATTTCCATTGGTAATTGAACAATGCTAGTCTTTTACCCTATTGATGTTTTCACTTGGCTTGAAGATAATGCTTAAAAAAAACATTGGTACTGCATGGTGGTAACCTCCTTTTCAGGAACAAGGTTTTTATAACAACCTGTAAAGCTACAAAATAATGTATAACTAAATTGAAGACTCTAGGTTGTAACCCTCTAAACTATTGTACTGTGGCCTTTAATGTTGTGTTGATTTAGGTTATTACTGTCTATGCAATAAGATTGTATGAGAACAGACAAATACACAGTTTAATATTAGTTCCTTGTGCTTTTGTTCAAGCACTTTGGTTTTGGAGAAGGTAAAATAAATACTGATTCAACCCTGACTGACCTGCTGCGCCTAGATATGGTTTCTAAGCTGTGATTGGGCACTCATTTTTCAGGGGAGGGGTTTAGCAAATAATCAACCAAATACTGTAAATGGTCATTTAAATACAATACACAGCAACAAATACTGAAAAAAACCAAACATTTGTTATTGATGATCAGATATGCTTCAGATGATAACATCTGCAGCTGATCAGATACCAGATGTTCAGAACTATTGCGTGACTGTAATATACTGTGTAAAAACAAAGCTGGAAATGCTGGCACTGAAATCCAATGCACACTTGCATAGCAACAAACATTTCCCTGTGTGGCTGTAAACACAGATGTGTGTCAGTGCTATACTGTTTCAGTTTTCGTTCTACAAGGCTGTCTTTTTACAAAGCATCCATTCATGTAGAATCTCTTGGTCCAAAATATGCCTGAACTCAATAGTGAGCTTCCTCTCTCAGCATTTGTAAGAAAAGACCAGGTTTGTTACAGTTCACTGCTCCTCTCCCTCCCCTTGGTCCTTTGCCCTTCCCCTCCCTTCATCTCTTCATCCCTCTGCCATTCACAGCCCCAGTATGCACAATCGTTCAGGTTCATCGAGCACTGTCTACATGCAAACACCTCATTCGTGTAACACTTTTTAAATCTATTCTTTAGTCAGTAATGCAATATAAAAGAAATTGAGAAAGTTCCCCATATCACAGTGTTTCAGCAATGGACCAGAGTTTGGCTCATTTCATTCACTTGTGAGGTGGAAAGTTTTAGCTGCAGAATGGTTACAATTAGTTGCAAAGTACTTCAAACAAAGAAGTCATTCATTCCACTTATTTAAAACATTAGAAGCTGGATTGCGAGGCTATCCCACCTGTTACACAATCATGAGGTTATGGCAGTGCAATTAGGAAAAAGTGAATCCTGTTCAATCCCCCTTATTGCTGTGACAGTGTTTTCTGTTCCTGCTGACTTTCAAATGCCAGAATCAGTGAAACTATTGGATGTTCGTGGCTCAGTCTGGCTTGAGAAGGACTGACACACCCTGTGTTTTCCTCTTCTGGTGAAATTCACAATACAAATTATTAACATCTTTTCCAAGATGGTCTCTGTGTACAGTAATGAAATATGCTTTGGCTATTGTTCTACCTGCAGCTGTCTGGATGTATTTGGCCCCAGTTTTTAGTTACTAAAGGAATATAACACATTGTCAGTTTGGTGGCTTACTAAATCATCTGAAAGTGTTCAAACACAGCAGCTGAGATCGAAGCAGATCCAGCAACTTCTTGTTGTAAGTTGTTTGCATGCAAACAAGATCTACTGCGCTAGTCAATGAGTTTTCTGTTTGCTCTAATAAATTGGATGACATCTTCTGCTTTGGCACCGCAGCAGGCTGCAGCAAATACAGCTCAGATGTAACATTTAAAAAACAAATAATGATTTGGTTTGATGATTATATGACACAGTAAAAGTAAAATATAGATTATTTATTCACAGGCTGCATTCAGAACACTGCACATTTCACAGTAACAGTGTTTCACTCAGCTGGATTATTATGATCCCTCACCAATATGCATGCTCGTGCCTTTCCAGGTCCTATAAAATACGAGACAATGTGCTTTTCATATTATATGTACAACCTGTACCTGCTGAATAAACCTATTCACCTTGATTTCCATTGTGGTTCTTCAACAAAGGGAAAATCAAACTGATACAATACTCACAGTTTTGATATTTTAGTGTGGCTTGGTCTTGATTTAAAGCATAAAACCTGCATTTGGCAAGGTGGACGGTGAAGAAGAGGACTGGCGTTGTTTGGTTCTGTTGATCTCATTGGCCGAGGTGCTCTGTCTATAGATAGCAGATGTTTGTTGGGAGTGTGCACGCTCATTTCATAAGGGATCTAAGGCCAGTAGCCAGTCAGGGTTAGCCTGGTTCTTGGGATCCTCATTTAGCAACTTGTCAGGATAATGCTACAAAGTTGAAATAATGCATGAACACTGCCCAGTTTGTGATTTAAAGGCTGCCCAGGGTTTTGCCTCAGCTGCCGCAACACTATTTATACCTGCACTTGACTTGCTTGACTGAATGAGCTAGGAAAAAAATCAGCAGATGTTTTGTATTCCAGAGCTCATGAAAAACGGATGGGAGGGATGGGAGAGAGACTTCACAAGTTGTAGTTGATGCTTATTTTTGTGTTCCTCCTACAGGTCTAATTTCTAATTAGCCTTTTAATCTTGTACCTATGATATAACAGCATCCTGCTGAGGATAATACAAAGGTTTCCTCTCTTTATCAGAGGTGTAACAAGCATCATCTCGAGCTAGCTGCATAGATCTATTGATCATATGCAATAATTACTTCTTACAAGACTGAAGATCATGATTTAAGCATCACAATGAGGCAGTAGTTTGTGTTCTTGTGGACTCTGTAAGCCTTGAGTGCTTAGGCTATATGATCTGTTTATAGTCATTGTCAACATTTGGATTAACAAAAAACTGCTCTGGAGGAGGTTGACGGGGTCCTAATGTTATAATTACTTTCAGTTGGTTGCATTTGGTCATAATTAGATTGGATTTGCAGCTTTTCTTTATAGGCAAATGATGTGTGTACAGACCAAACATACGCTTTTGACATTCAACAGAAATTTCAGAAGACTTTGATACTTGACGGAATAATCTACATACATTACAGATTTTTGCACACAAACACACCCCACACAACTTCCGCAAGGACACCGCATCATTTCACACATTGAGCTGCTATTCTTATCTCCACCTTAAAAAAGAAACTACTATAGGCACCATCATTAAAATGGTGCTTTTAAGCGCTGTCGGAAATGGTGCAGTCGACTTTACACTTGGGCATTTAAATAGCTGATTTAGTAGCCTATAGCCATAACTGTAGCAATGTTTTGGAAAATAAAAAAATAAATATCACTTGAATATCATTTATTGCCTTCTTCTAATTTCCATGAGAGAGTTAGTCAGTTTTTTAAAGTATACAATAACAGTGCTCTGAACCATGAGCATAACTACTTCAAATTACAGCTGAACGAACGTAGACTAAACGTTTATCTAAACCATAGGAGTTATATAATAGATTTTTTTTCAAGACCTTTTCTTGTACAACATCTACTCTTTCTTTTCTTGCATTGATCAAATACACATATCAAGGTAATGACTCCTACAATTATTTTTATGCAATGTGAAAAATGTTGCAACCCAGCATTTAAGATACTGATGAAGCCCAGTGTCCCACAGTAATAGCAGCTTTTGTATTACAAAGTATTTCCAAGTGTCAGATATGTTTTACAATTTAACAAAAATAAAAACATTAGCTTATCTACATTTCATCCATCTTTAACTTAATTATTTTTGGTAAGGGTTGAAAAAGGATTTCATAGTTTACGATAATCATTTGAAGGCAACATTAGTTTACGCCCCCCTGGATTCTGATTGGCCCCCAATTACAAGCCTCTGTTGTCCATTGGCCTGTACGTATCCATTGAAACCCCTCCTCTACCTTTGTCGCTTTCTTGCGCTCCCGTTGAAACGCCTACTCGTTGTTTTCCTGGGTTCGGAGGAAGAAGTTATTCACCCGCTCAGTCGGAGAATATCGTACGCCGAGGGAGGATAGAGGAAGCTTTTCGTTCCTTCTCTTTGTGGTCAGCGCATGGCCCATGAACCTGATTGGAAAGGGGGTAGTGAGGCAAAGGGCAGGAGGGATTTAACCACCGTGAAGCACAGCGTGGTGTGAGCGGCAGCGCTGCGGTGCCTGTGGCCAGCGTGCAACGCCGCTGCACCGGATCGTGTTGGGAGCAGACAAGGGAATAACACAACCACATCCAGAGATGGTTTTCTACCCGTGGGAGCCTTCACAGACATTGCTACTGCTGTGAACCTTTCTATCCAAACATTTGTCCAGTGGGATTAAGAAACGTGCTTTTTCTTTATCAGCAAAGGAATTAAAGATGCCGGACCAAATCACAGTTTCAGAGTTTGTGGCAGAGACGAGCGAAGACTACAAATCGCCCACTGCCTCGAACTTCACCACCAGGATGTCCCACTGCAGGAACACGGTGGCTGCTCTGGAGGAGGTGAGTGGCTCTGTGGACATTAGAGCTCTTCTCTCTCACCTAGAAGAGGAGGAGGAGGAGGAGGAGGAGGTCGCCTCTTTTTAATTTGTACGCGTCCCTCATGCTCCATACTCCTGTTCCGATATGCTCAGCCGTGGGTTTAATTTCTGTCCTGTATTTATAGTGTGTCATTGTACAGTAGCTTTTGTCAGGAAGTTGAACTTCTTCTGTCTTCTCATTGCTTAGCAGCCTGTTAGATCCACATAGCTCAGTCATAAAGCACACTCAGCCTCAGAAGGCGTTAGTCTGATTAACCTAATTTCTGATGAGGAAAAAACTCCCAAAACAAACATTTCACAGGAAGGGAAAAGGAAGTAAAGCAACAGCAGTGGGATTCAGTTTCTAGGATCCACACACATGCAATATGGGGTAGAGAAAAAGAGAACAAACAGTGAGAACCAGAATGATACTGGAAGGCAAACAGAGTGTGAACATATGCACAGTGGGAAAGACCACCACTTTCCAAATGATAGTTCCCACAGTGATAAAGGGAGAAACATTACACACTTGCTCCGGTTTACTGCTGCACAGCGCTGAATGTCAACAGAGAGCACTTTGTCTCCTTCCTTTAACTTGCAGGTCATCAGGAGGAAGGACCCTTCCGCTTTGTTCCCTGACAACCCTCCGCCGCCTCCCTCCCTTGTTAGTTTCCCTACTTTGTGTGCTGTATGGCAGAGCCTCGTCCTGCCTGGTGGTAAAAATAGGGTTTCCCCACATGAGCAGCTTGATGTGTTAGTGTGTCTTTGTTCTGTAATTTAGGATACTTGTGTAGACGTTAGGTGATGTGAGGTAATGTTTCCTTCTTTCACTGGTGAAAGATTTGAATCACCATCCAGTGAAAATGGAAACGACAGATATTTTGTGCCATGCAGCCTTTTTAAAACTTAAAACAGCTGAATGCATGATATGTGCAGAGCTGTTGTTGGCTTCTGATGTCAGTGTCGCTTGGCTAACCCACATGTGGGCTCAGGTTAATCTTCAACCGCCTGCTTATCCACACCTTGGTGAATGTTGTGGCTTTTATTTTTAACCAGTGCTTGTGGAGGACTGAGTCAGGGAGCCAGAAGTCCACCTGCTCAGGCTGACAGGTGCTTCACGTCACGGCCCTTGCTACACACTGTTTCTTTTCAAAGTTACGCTGTTTTAAAAATAGAAAATTAATCTTATTTTGGGTTAGATTTCAGCACCGTGTTGAATGTGCTTTTCTGTAAGAAGTAAGCACATAAGTGTGTGGCTTTTTAACCAGCAGCTCTGCTGTAGCAGCTGTGTGTTTCTATTGTTGTTGCAGAGATGTGGAGTAGCGTGTTGTTGCTTCACATTGACCTCCCCCGTGCTCAAGCCCAGAGAACACAATGCCTTATTGTTGCAGCAACAAGACCTTGCTCACTTTGTGTTTGTTTGACGAATTAAACACTCCAGTAGACAGTGGACACTTTGACTTGTTGTCTGTCTGGCATCTCAAACACACGCAGACAAAGAAAAAACAACCAAAAAAAGTACATATGTACATGCACAGGCATCCACAAGTAGCTATGTGTTTATATTCCTGTTATATAGCCCAGTGATTGTAAAAACAATGGACAGGCTAAGAGCTCCCAGACGTGAAGCCACTGCAGTTTGATCGCCCCCTGGTGGCTGGCTGCAGTATAGGTCATAAATCCAACCTTCATATAACATGAGCCAAAATAAAAACTCAAAGTACAAATCAGATAAATTTTTCCCTGAGGTCACTTCTGTGATTTTTGGTCCAGAAAGTTTAAGTTCTGCTTTCTGTGTGGGCAAAATTCCAAAGACACTCTGCTCCTTATTCTTGTTATTGACAAGACCAGAGCAGAACATGATAGGAGTAATGTTTCTAATGTTTCAGGGATATAGACCATTTGTAACCCCATGTGCTGTGTTACTGTGAAAGACCAACACATTAAAATCACAATCACTGTAATGAAGTGCACCACGGCTGTCAGTCTCCGGTGCAGTTTTAATCTTGTGAAGTGCCCATTTCCTTGTGTTGTTTACCGTGAAAATCTATAATTTCACACTTCTGCCTTTTGGCTCATGAAATTATAGTGTGCTGCTTCTGTCAGTGTTTAATAGCTAAATTAATAGTTTTGAACTGTCTAGCAGATCTGCTATTATTTAGCTGGCTGCTTCTTCTCAAGTAAACAGTTTCCTACTTCTCCCCACTGTTTTATCACACCGTGTTACCTCAAATGTATGAAATAGAGTGCATCCAATGATCCGTATTTCTAATTCAGGTTGTTGAAAATAACTGTTGCACTTAGTGTCTCACCTTCTTAAGAGGCCTATAAAACTGACCCTTGGGTTTGGCTGTTTATAGGAAACCCTTAAACACATTAACAGGAGAGAAGACCCAAGCAGAGGTTTTACGTACATAAATGTTGTGTAATTGTTTCTTTCTAAATGTAATTGCATCAGACATAATCTTAATTAGACAAGTAGTTTTAAAGTGCTGGCTATTAAGAGGCCAGTCGGTGAGCTTGTGTGCACTGGTAAAACCGGAGCGATGAACAACTGGTTTATCTAGGATCTGTTTTGCCCTCAAAGTTTTATTCAGAATCCTCTGAATGGCAAGTTGTTTCTACTGGGGGTGGGTAATCCACTGCATATAAGAGTTTTGTTGGATACTTAAAGTATCAAGTTCTGATTTGAAGTGAGTTTATAACCTTGTAAACGGAGATTTTCTTACTGTGAGTTGTAGTAAGAGCTGACATTTGAAAAAGCAGAAGTTTGTACAGTTCATTTATTTTCTTCTCTAATTTATACGTGTGACATTGAAATTGTAAAAACTCTGTGCAGAGTTTCATGTTTAACATGGTGACAGTGTTTGTATGAGGTAAAATCCAGTTATGGGCTCAACTTTCTGTGCCAAACATTTGAAGGAGGCATTAGCCCCGGGGGCTGAGCGGACCTCTGTATTAGGTATTGATCTTGGTTAAAACGCCCCTCCGCTTTTGTCTCAGCCAGGGAAAAACTCATGAGGATGTCTGCAGGATGTCTGTTTGAGGCCAGAAACTGGCACACGCTGTAGACATCTGAGGTCTATTTTTGCATCTGTGACCAGTTTAATCCCAGTTACTGAACCCTGCTGGGCAGAGAAGTGATGCAGTCAAAATGTTTGTCTGCTTGAACAAACCTCAAGTTCTAGTTCTGGTACAAAGACAGGTTTTTGGTGTAACATCATAGTATCATGGCAACTGTTTATATTTATATTAATTCTCTGCAAGAGTGGGTCAGTTAACAGCTCTCAAAGTGTCAACCGATTGAATATACCGGATCTGACTCATACAGTAGACTCCAGAGGGCTGCTGAGCATGAGGGCTTGACACTGCAAAACAGCCATCGCTACTTGACATTCAGGTCAAGCTTTCGTGTCATCAGCAGTTTAGTGCTCTGATCAGTCTGTCAGCTGCTCGTTGTAGCGCTGACACACTGTGCCGTGACATTACAGCTGCTTTCTAATGTAAAGTTGGTTTACAGATAGAGGACTTGGAATCATGAACATTCCCTGATATTGTCAGTAAATAAATAATTGTTTCAGATGCTCCTGGCTCATAAGCAAAGTTCTGCACGTCCTTATCATGCCTGCCTCTCTAGTCCTGTCTATTTACTAAGTACATAGCATCAACCGGTACCGTAAGGTGATGGATCATCTATGTTGGTTCCAATTTGACTTTCAAATGATCGCATGTGTTATGATACCTTTCATTTGTCTGTAGATGTTACTGAGCCAGGATCTCAGCCTCGCCATGACGCTGAGCTCCGGTGGGGCCTGGTTATGTGGACATTTGCATAAGTGTAACATTAACAAAGCTGATGAGCTCTTGCTATTGGCTTCTTACTCAAAATATTAATTGCAGATTTGTATGTATATTATCTTAAGACGGTTGCTTATTGTAGAAGCTGTTTGTTTGAGCCCAAATAGCAGTCAGTAGTACTGCACTAATAGCAGGCCTGTAAAGTGCCAGAATAGCCCCCACCCACCCATTATACCCCTCTCTCTCTGTCCTATGTCCCTTTGTCCAGTTTATTCATTTTTTTTGCTGATAAACGACAGTTGTTTGTATCCAGGCCAGCTCTTCATGGGCCATTACTGGTGTTGGTGGGGTTGGAGGTGACTCAGTCCTGAAGTCTAGCATCATTAGTCTTCCATCTGGCCATTATTTCATTTGACAGAAGGCCGTCACACTGGTATGCCAGCTACGCACTGGTAAGGCATGTTGTCTTGCTGCCAGATGTTGCGTAGAGATTATTGGGGAGTACCGCTGGGAATGGTAATGATAGTCATAACATGCACAGGCACTTGTTGGCACTGGCTGTACCGGCCATACCAGCCTCCGGGCTGCGAACCTCTTTATAGCACCTCTAAGTTTAATCTCAGGCCTTCATTCTTTAACTGGACATTAAGGCCTAATCCCATTTCATCTTTGTCATTAACTACTGATGATGCATAGAGGTATTGAAGGATTGTCCTTGTAACTCAGTTTGGAGGGTTAACTCAAAAATGAGGGGTAGGGGTAAAAAAAAAAAAGGGATTGGATTTAACTGTTATCTTCTGTAAACACAGCATCATATCTTTTTTCATTTGCAGCTGCCCTAAGCTACACTGCTCTGTTATTGCAGAGCAAAACACTTGTTCTTTTCTGCCACTGCTTCCTATTTAAATGTCTCATTTAAAGCTGGGTGATTTATGGCTGACGCGCTAACAACTGAAAACAAGCGTACTCTCGTAACTCTTCTCCATGTGTCAGTCTGTCGGCTTGTGTTGATACTGAAGTTGTTCCCAGGCCAAGGGAAGGCCTGGCTTTCTTCTGCCCTGAACCCTCCACCCTGTCCAGACACGGTTTGTGGGAACGGCGATGTCCCGTGAACAGTTTTAACAGAGATTCAGACAATGGGATTATCAGTGCAGGGACAATCCACATTTAAACATGTACAGACAC